AGGATTTATCCCTCTGGTTACATCTAAGTAACTATGTGTTTGTGTGTGTACACGCATATATGTCATGAGTCAAAATACTTGATCTTGAAACCAGAAACTGATCTGAGCTCGTGATTTTTTTTGGTTCCTCTATTTTACTGAAATTGTAAGCCTGTATTTACCAATTTTGAAGATTTCTTGTGAGATTATGGTGAGCCATCACATCGCTTCTCCTTTAAAACCGAATGAGGAAGCATATTGGCCCTTGTGCATATTTCAATTGCTCTTCATTGTCGTTGCATTATAGTCTTGAATTGTTCATCCGTTCAAATTTTAATGGTTAAGATTAATCTTGCTTTGGAAAACCAACAATTTTGAACTATAAAACCTTTTAACATTTTTGATTTGGTTGCATCTATAATCTGGAATGGAGAAATTTAGACCAGTACCAGTTTTTGCAAACTTTATTATCTTTGCTTTCTATTTCATCAAGGATGAATATATGGTTCAGGTGCTCCTATATATATATGAGGAATTAGCCGATCTCTAGATGGAAATGAAAGTTGGGAGGAAAATGGGAACTTTTTGAAGACCAGTCTTTACTATACTTTTGGTGACTTTGGTCTAAAAGACTCATTGTATCCGGTTCAAAAACAATCTGTTTTTTTTTAACTAATGAATTAGTATTCATATAATTAATTTATATAGGACGGTAAGTGTGAAATGATGCCACAGTGATCTTTTTTTTCCTGTGGCCACCTTTTCTTTTGTGCATCAGCTGCTAGGTATTTGTTGTCAAGGGAATTTTTTTTATTTTTAAAAAGAAATATAGCGACTGAACTACTCCTGAAACATACTATCCGGATCCTTAATATAAAAACTAGTTTAACTTTTAATTTGGTTCTGAATATAGGATCCCAATACACTTGATTAGTAAATATGTTTTAGGAAAGACAATACTTATTTATTACAAATAACTAATTAACTAATTTTTTTAATCCATCCAAATTAATTAACTAACTTTTATATTAGGGATTGAAAGTAGTATATATGCACAACTATTAGCAGCTTCATGGATATTTCGCATCTTCTCTGGTCTGTTTCCCCTAGCCTCACCAATATCCACTGTGTTCGTCTCCTTCCTTATACGTACTTACACAGGGCTTGCTAATCAGCAAAATCCTGGCCCAGGTGTGCCAATTCTTCCCTCCTCCTAACAATTATTTAGATCCCATTTGTTTTGTGCTAAGTCCACTCTATAACTTTAAGCAATAAAAAAAAACCAAACAAAGAAAGATCCCATTTGATTCTTTCATGTGAGTTATAGCATCTTAAGGCTTCAATATATCAAGTATAATTGAATCTAGCCAATGGGATATGTGGGATTCCCCCTACTCGGGGCGGTGGATTCGCAGCTATTCATGTTGCCTCTAACAGGTTTTTTATATGCTTCTCGGACTAAATTCATATTTTGATCTTATTTTCTTACTTTCATCGTTTCTTCGTAAATAATTAACATGTAGACACTTGTGTAGCCATCCAAAACATGTCTTGTATTTTTCATTCTGGAGACTTGTGGAAGAACAACATGACAATCTTGGTTACACAGGATTTCTTATTAAGGTAGGTTTTTTCATTCCAATCTTTTTGTTTGTCTAAAGCACATTCAACACTGATTAAAAAAAAAAAAAAGGATGAGCATGTGGTGTTCATCTTAATCTAAACGATCCAAATTGATGTCTAGATTCAATTTAAAATTGTAAAGTATTTTAAATAAATTTTTATTTTAATAGACTAAGACTTTAAAATAAAGATAGTATAATCTTATAACTAATATTTTTTTTTAAAATTATCATTGAAAAAATATTTTAAACTAAAAATTTTAAATTTAAACTATTTATATTTGGTCTTGGATAGTTTAAATTGCATTATAGCATGAGTACCTGGTGCTTATAGTTTGAATGAGAACCTTGGTTGTCGCACTTAGATTTGTGTCCTCCAAAACCAAAGCTTTTCAGTGTCTTTTTGAGTAGAAGAGAAGAACGAGAAAAGAAATTGTGAAACCAGATACGTATATATAAGCATGTTTTACATAAGTCATAGCAAAACTCTTCTTATATACCTACCTCATATTCCGTAAATTACAATTAAAAAGTTACTTATAAACTATCTTAAATAGGACCTGTATAATGGCCAAAAATACTACATTGGTTTTTGAGAAGTGGCCATATAATTAGCGTGACACTCAAATTGTTACTTGGACTCTAAAAATTATGAATCAAACTTGCGTTTGTGGAACAAATTACGCCAAACCTTACGTCTTCACCATTTTGACAATGAAAGGAATCTAATACAACACTTGAGATATGTGTTATACTCTCCAACAAGTGCGCTTCCGGAGATTTGAACTTGTGTTCTCCTCCTCACGGGGATAAAACCGCTACCACTTCAACTAATAGCTTGTTGGTGTCTTGTGCTCTCTTTTACTATCTCCTACATCTGATTCTCCATATAAGGTTTTATTTATAAAAAATTTATTCGTTCTTAGGTTCAAATTTTCTCATGCCTCCTATGTTAATTATTTTTCCTCGTAATACCCCTATTTATTACTCCTCCGGTCCTAAATGTAAGATCCTTATACTAGTGTGTATAAGGGTCTTACATTTAGGACTGGAGGAGTATTAGAGTATTTTTATCTCTATCATCTCCTTTTTTTTTTGTCTTCTTGGTAATATACGATTCGAGTGAACCACCATTATATTCTACATATTAAATGATTTGTGGGACGTGGTTTTCCATTGCGCTCAGATTCAAAGCCTACAGAGAGCGGACATTTCTTTTTGTTCTTTCCAGAAAATCATATTTTTGGGATTAAATGATGACGTGGAAAAATTATATAGCTAAGTTTTGTTTTCATGAATACTTATCATAACTATTTTTTTTTTAATTTTATGAAATAGTTAAAAAATGTTGAAAAGTACTTATATTTCAATTTTTAATATTATTTGAGAGCTTAACGTCACCCGTCAGATTGTCAACTAAAAATCAAACATTTTTTCAGTAAACAAATTAACTACGTACCCCAAAATTCTGATATTTCCACTTAAATTTTGGCAAAATTAATCCTTTTATGTAATACTACCTCCGGTCCTAATTATAAGACCCAGTTAACTAATTTGAGGAGATTAAGGAAGTAAGTTAAGTTAGTTATTTGTAACAAATAAGTATTGTCATTCCTAAAATATCCTTGCTAATTAAGTGTGTTGGTTAGAACTACTCCTCCGGTCCTAATTATAAGACCCAATTGACTTATTTGAGGAGATTAAGGAAGTAAGTTAAGTTGGTTATTTATAATAAATAAGTGTTGTCATTCCTAAAATATCCTTGCTAATTAAGTATATTGGCTAAAACTATCATTATTAGAAGGATTATCTTGGAAAAAAATGCATAAATATAAGAGACAAAATGGATTGGGTCTTATAATTAGGACCAAATAAAAGTCAAATTGGGTTTTATAATAAGGACTGGAGGAGTATCATTATTAGAAGGACTATTTTAGAAAAAAATGCATAAATATGAGAGACAAAATGGATTGGGGTCTTATAATTAGGACCAAACTAAAAGTCAAACGGGGTCTTATATTAAGGACCGGAGGTAGTATTAAATATTAATATTGTAATTCTTACAATTCACTTGAATTTTTAAATTGACCCTTATGCGTTAATTTTTTGTTCTAACAAAAAATCACTCCTTATACTTAAAAAAAAAAAAAAAGAATTTGAGGTGATCCCTACATTTTTTTGGGGTAAAAATTGGGGCATCACGCCCATCTCATTGTATTAGATCACGTGCGGACCACGTGCAACTACCGTCCACCAAAATGATGGTTTTTCTCAATTAAGTTGGAAGAAGAACTATATTTCAATAAAAGACGATAAAAATGAGCACAACAATATACGTCAAAGTATTTTGACCCAAAAAAAAAAAAACGTCAAAGTATGTTTTCGATTGGAAAATCATAGGTGGAAGAACTTCCGGAAATTAAATGCTTCTTCGTGTCTCTCTCTTTTTAATGTGGCTAACATTAAAATGTTATGTGCTTAATTAAAGATGCTCCTCCCAAAGATTTTTTCTTTTTTTGGCATTTTGAATCCCTTTCTATCAGGATTAACACCTATTGGTCCCTCCAATCTCTATTATTTGATTATAAGTATAAAATCTCAATTCATTTATTTCTTATATTGATCGTTTTTTTCAAACCAATTTACTTAATTTATAAACTGATATACTACCTCTGGTCCTAATTATAAAATTTTATTTGACTTTTATTTTGATCCTAAATATAAGACTCAAATCCACTTTGTCTCTCATATTTATTCATTTTTTTTTAAGACAGTCCTTCTAATAATGGTAGTTCTAGCCAATAAACTTGATTAGCAATGATATTTTAAGAAAGACAACACCTATTTATTACAAATAGCTAATTTAGCTTATTTTTTAATCTATTCAAATTAGTCAATTAGCTTTTATATTTAGGACCGGAGGTAGTATAACTAATGTTATACTAGATATTTTGGGAAAATTATTATAATTAATTGATTCATCAATTTAATCCTATTAACTTACCCAAATTAATTAAGGAGATGTTATATATAAGAACAAAAGGAGTATCTATTATCCATGTATCAACTCAAGTTGGAGTTAGTAACAAGGGAAGTATTTGTCTTTTATTATCATCAATCATGCAAAACATATGGTTTCAAATATTAGGCAAAATAAAATAAAATATTGTCCACTTGAAAGTTAAAACAACCGAGTGAGTATTCAACTGCGAAAATGACCCCCGGTCCCCATATAATAAATGATATGTCAGCGGTAGTTGAGAATTTTGAGTTGTATTTGGCCCCTATCGTCTGCCTGCTATTTTATCCCATATGGCTCATATTTATCTCTTTGTATCATATATCAATCCATCTCATTTTGCTCTTCCACTCATTTTCTATAATTTCTTCACAATTGCCATGGAAGAACCTCAGGATTTGCCGCTTTCCATAATTGGTACGTCATATTTCTCACCTTTTATCATCTCTCTTTTGTTCATAGATCACATGTCATCCTGCAGAAATTTGCTGCACAAATATACATGATCAAATGACATAGCAACTTAAAATTGATGTTCAAAGCTTTTTAATTTTATTCATGAGAAGGATGCAATAACAGTGGAATCACATGGTTCAAATATAAAGTTTGATGATTTCTAAGAGTGCATGAACCTGAAACATAGGGCAAACTTTGATAAACGCAACTACCGGACAACCTATGTGGTATATAAATGTTTTATTGCGTCTCATGATCATTGTGTCTACAGGTATTTCAGTCACCTGCCCATTTTCTTCCTACAGATTAACGAAAGACAAATATAGAATATGACAACCTATGTGAAGCTAATGGATCGATCATTGAATTGTTTTCTCAGAGTCTGATGGAGCCAAAGACAAGAATCCAAATGGTGATACAGAGTCTGATGCAGCCAAGAAAACAGATCCCAATGGAAATACCGGTGATATCCCGAATGAAGAAAGCCCTGAAATCAAGAACAGAAGGAGACATCAACGTTGGTTAAGAATAGCCTTGTATGTTGTGTCTGTCTTGCTGGGCCAATCAGCTGCAACGCTCTTGGGAAGACTGTATTACCAAGAAGGTGGAAACAGCAAATGGTTGGCAACTCTTGTGCAGCTTGTGGGTTTCCCTATTCTCCTCCCATTGTACTCTATCCCTGCATCCAAACAAACCTCTGCAACAAATACCGTTATTCACAATCATGAACAGCCCTCTGTTTCAAAGCTGGCTCTTGTTTATGTCTCCCTTGGCCTTCTTGTTGCCTTAGACTGTTACTTATACTCTGTTGGTCTCTCTTACCTTTCTGTTTCTACGTTTTCTCTTATTTGCTCTTCACAGTTAGCCTTCAATGCCTTCTTCTCCTTCTTTCTTAATTCACTCAAATTCACGCCTTACATCATAAACTCTTTAGTCATTTTAACAATCTCCTCCATCCTCCTCGTGTTCCAAGCTGATTCTTCTTCAGGATCTACCCAAGTTTCAAAACAGAAGTATATGATCGGGTTCATATGCACAGTTGCTGCTTCAGCTGGGTATGGACTAACGCTCTCTCTGACACAGCTTGCATTCAAGAAAGTGTTCAAAAAGGTAAGTTTCAAGGTGATTCTGGACTTGATAATATACCAATCAATAGTGGCGACATTGGCAACAATAGTGGGGCTGTTTGCTAGTGGGGAATTTAGAGGTTTGAAGGCAGAAATGAAGGAGTATAGAATGGGCAAGGCAAGTTATGTGCTGAATTTGAGCTTTACCGCTATAACATGGCAAGTTTTTAGTGTGGGATGTGTGGGTTTGATCCTGGAGGTGTCTTCTTTGTTCTCAAATGTGATAAGTGTTTTGGGTTTACCAATTGTGCCAATTCTAGCCATAGCATTCTTCCATGACAAGATGAATGGGTTGAAGGTAATATCTCTGTTACTTGCTCTTTGGGGCTTTTTGTCATACACCTACCCGCAGTACTTGGATGAGACCAATTCCAAGACACAGCACAGAAACAATGATGCTTTATCCAGAGACTCACTTAATGGAGTATCTGAGTAAGTAGAAGACAGGTCACTATGACGCTGGGAGTCCAAGAAATTCTCTCAATAGACACAGCTATATAGAAGCTGCATGTAGTTGAATTCTGTTCTCATTGGTTTGATGTCTGTAAATCAAGTTTATCTAAAAATATCTACAAATTCTCAATGTTATGATGCTAACTTACAGATATAGAAATTATTAAGTCTCACAGAAGAGGTCATTTTCATGGGTCTATCGTGCATATGATACATTCTATGCAAATTTTTGGAAGGCTCTGTTAATAGAAGGACCGCCAATTTATGCCCACCCTGATGTTTTAATCCTCTGGTTCTTAATATAAAACCTATTTAACTAATTTGATTAGATCAAGAAAGTCAGATAAGTTAGTTAATTATAAGAAATACGACATGTTTTTTTTCTAAAATATCATAACCATCTTTCTTAATATCATCCTCCCCTCTTCTACTTGATTATAGTTGAGGGAGTATCCATAGAGGTAATTTAAGAAAAATTGATAAATATAAGAAATAGATCTTATATTTAAAACCAAAATTAATTTAACAATTAGATCCAATATTAAAGACCAGAGGAGTATAATGAACTACCCGTACAATGCGATACAATGCCTGTGACATTCTCTTAGTTACTATCAAATACGGTATATTAATTTTGAGTAAATTCCAGAAAAAATATAGGGCAATTGTGACTGAGCCCGGAAAAGCCATCAATAAAAAAAGCACATAAATATTTGTCCAGTAAAAAATGGGAAAACTGGGGGGAAAGCCCCACTGGAAATTTTTCTGTGAGAATTAGTGTTACCAGCTTTTAATTAATCTTACCTTTCTGAACCATGCAACATATCTTGGAGACTTAGTCAACCCCAGAACAGTTCAGCAGCAATAATTGTTGTAAAGTCACAATCTACCACGATTGATCTCCTTAATTATTGAGGTCTCATAGTCAAAATATATGACGAATAATTATCCAATTTTTTTTGTGAACCACGATTAATTATCTGATTAATATTTTCTTCCTCTGGCTCAAAAATATAAGCGTGAAATGTTTGAATAGTCTGTTTTTTTTTTATAAGCTTCATTTGAGATTTGTTAGATCATTTAATGCAATTTTTTTTCATTTTTACTTCTCATTAATTATATGTCTCTTTGATATCTTTTCTCATTTATCCTCTTTCATTTTTTTTTCACTCATTCTCACTCCTACGCACATTCTTCATAAATAAGGGTGTTTTAGGAAAATAAAATACATTGTTTGTATATTAATTGTTTTTCACCACCTTTAACCAAAATTTTGATTTATATAACTTAGCTATCAATCAGCTATCAATCATCATCAACTATATTCTTTAAAACTTGTAATACCCTATTCATTTTAAAACGGTTTGGGTATCATATTATGATATATATCCGAATATATTTAATGAATAATAAGATTTGAATAATATTTTGATTGAGATTTGGGTATATTGAATTAAATGAGCAGCATCATTATTAAATAAGATTTCAATTGGAGGTTCAAGTAAAAATTAATAATTAATTTTGAATTTAGATAATATTTTAATTGAGATTTGAATATATTGAATTAAATGGGAAGCATCATAATTAAATAATATATAAATTGGGGGCTCAAATAGAGAAATAAATAAATAATTTTAAATTTTCATATGTTCTCCCCAAATTCCACATCTCTAATTCAAATCCAACTTGAATGGATGAAAAAAAATTACTCTTATAAGAAGTGAATCTTGAGCTATCCTAAATAATGCAATTTATTTAAATTTAAAATCTAATCAAATATTTTAATATGTGCATCGTATTGGGTGAGAAATTTCTCGTTTGATACTTATATTTTGAATCGGAGCGGGGATATGATAAGCATATGTGTGTGTTCTGTAGTTTGTTTAATTATCGTAAACAATTATATTTATTATGTTTAAATTAAAGAATGTGATTATATGACTATCATGAATACACTTTAAAAGTTCACATGGATATCCTTTGTTATTTATTCGTATACAATGGCATTTTCATAGTTTTTAACATAAACATCCGACTTTATAATTCAGATCTTATTTAATCTGTATAATCGAGCAATAAGAGAGAGTATTTGACATGACTTACCATTCCTTTTTCTTAGTTTTTAATCAACAGACTTAACTTTCTAATTATCTAGCAGGGGGAATGGTTGAAGATGATCCTAATTATTAATTTTAAAAATTGACTGTACTTATTAATTTTGGATCGAATTGGCCGATTAAAGAGGTATAAACAAGAATTAAGTTGGCAATTAGTTTTTTGACCAACAAAGTTGAAAATTATGGGCCTGTTTGTTTTTGTTCTTTATTTTCTTGTTCCCAAAACAATTTTCTAAAATTATTTCTTAGAATAAGTTTTGAAAACAAAAAACAAAAGAATTTGTTTGGATAATAATTTAAAAAAATCATGTTTGAAAAAAAAATCATAAAAAATTACACTTGGTAGGTGATAGTTGTCGCTGATAATAATAAGTGGTAGATAGTAGATAAGAAGAAAAAAAAGATTTCTCAAGATTTTTCAAAACAAAAAATAAAAAACACAAAAACAAAAACAAGAAAACAAGTTAAAGTTGTTTTGATTTTTTAATTTTTAAAAATGTATTACCGTTTTTTTTAAATAATCAAATAAAAAAATTATCAAACAATTTTTTTTATTTTTCTTTGTTTAAAAATAAAAAATTATTTTCAAAACAAGAAACCAAACAAACTTCATAGTTTCCATCCTCATCATTCGTACATTAACTAATACCACAATTTGATCTTAACATTAGGTTATCTATATTTAACATTATGTTTACACTTTTTAATAGATGTGTAATCTAAAATAGAGATAATTTTTATACCTTTAAAAAAAAACTATCATTTAAAAATTAAAATTTAATAGCTTTAAATCTAGATTGTCCAAAACTAGATTTGAAAGACCCAAATTAAATCTTCACAATGATAGGGAATGCAGCTAGGCCCTACTCAACTTGGCAATAATTTGCTTTACTGAAAAACTATACACCAGTGAATGCCGATAGAAAAAGTGAGCATACAATAAAAAGAGAATTACAATTAAGTCTCGTATAAGAGAAATAACTACTAAAAAATCCAATAACAATTTGAGTAGCCTGTAATAACAAGTTATAGAGTAGAGAATAACAATCTCTGTGACTTGTTTTGTAATTTTTTTTTCTTGCATAGGACCTCATTGTAATTCTCCCTACAATAAAATATGTATGAAAGTTGTATTTGGAAAATCACAAATAGGCTACTTTTAAGAATCAAATGTTAGTTCAGGTAAAAAAAAAATTATTAAACACTACCTCCAATCTTTAACATAAGAATTTATTTAACTTTTATTTTAGTTCAAAATATAATACCCAATCCATTTTGTTTTCATATTTATTCATTTTTTAAAAATAATTTTTCTAATAATGGTAGTTCTAGTTAATACACTTGATTAACAAGGATATTTTAGGAAAAAATATCTATTTATTATAAATAACTAACTTAACTAACTTTCTTAATCTTATCAAATTAATCAACTAGCTTTTATATTAAGGACTTGAGATAGTACTACCTCCGGTCCTAATTATAAGACCCAATTGACTAATTTGGAGAGATTAAGGAATTTAGTTAAGTTAGTTATTTGTAATGAATAGTGTTGTTTTTCCTAAAATATTCTTACTAATCAAGTTTGTTATCTAGAACTATCATTATTAAAGGACTATCTTGGAAAAAAAATAGATAAATATGAAGACAAAGCGGATTGGGGTCTTATATTTAGGACCAAAATAAAAGTCAAACAGGGTCTTATATTAAGGACCGGAGGTAGTATAAATTATCTCAATATATCATCATCCATTTCATTTTGCACTCGAACTCATTACTCTCTCTCACCCAAAAAAAAAAAAAAAGTTCACAATTGTCATGGGAGAACCTTAAGAATTGCAGCTTTCCATAATGGGTGTGTCAACATTCTCATTTTTCACTTAAAGATATTATCATCTCTCTTCTGTTCTTAGATCACATATCACTCTGCAGAAATTTGCTGCACATATATATTGGCTCATAGATGCTTCAATCACACAAGTTAATGAAAAGTTTCATCGTGCTTTGTGTCCATATGTTCAAATTTTTTTAACATTTATTCATGAAAAATAAGAACGTTCATGAAATTAAACTGTCTAAGTATGCATTAGAAGGATGCACCAGAGGAACAGTGTGGTTCCAGTAAAGTTGCATAACGTTCCAGTAAACTTGCATGACTTCTAAGACAACAAGAACTTTGAAATAAATGCATACTTTGATAGAACCAACCACCAGACAACTCTATGCAGTGCAAATTATGTTTTATTGCATCTCATCAGTTCGGAAATTCTACAGGTATTTCAGTTACCTGTTCATTTTCTTCCTACGGATTAGCAACAAACAATACGAAATCCTCAAAATTTTAGGATGTATTTAGTATATAACCAGTTCCTTTCTATTATCACACGGCATCTCTATGTAGCTAGTAGATTGATCATTTCAATTGTTTTCTCAGAATCTGATGAAGCCAAAAAAAAGAATCTAAATGGTGATGTAGAATCTAATTCAGACAAGAAAACGAATCCCAATGTATGCTGTCTCTGTTTTGTTGGGCCAATCAGCTGCAACACTCTTGGGAAGATTGTACTACTGTAACAATTACACAAATGATCCCCAGATAATATAACTCAAATCAATAATAATGGACCATTTATAATAGAAATTCTAAGCTCAATACATTTGACAGAGTTAACAATATAAAAGGAAAATAACATAACTCTGATTCAATGGAGATTAAGAAATATAGAATGAGAGTAGCAGGAGAGAATAGAAGATCTAGTCACTGAGATAGTGCAGCTGGCCAGGGAGAAGAGAGACTCAAGGAGGCGGGAAGACTACACATGATTCATTTCACCCCTCCCCTGATGACATCTTATCTTCTTATATGGCATCTCAACACCTTTTTTGCTGCCTCTTCCTCTTAGCATTGGTTCTTCCTTCCTGGGCTCCTCATTGGGCTCCCTATCCTGGCCCAATTCTTCCGTGACCATGACAACTACCAAGAACGTGGCCAAAACAAATGGTGGGGAACACTTGTCACTCTCGTGGCTTTCCTTATTCTCCTCCCTTTTCATTGTATTCCTGCCTCCAAA